TATATATATATATATGTGTGTGTGACGGTGGAGTGAGTGTTTTACTGTGTCCGTGAATAATATTTTAATTTTTAAACAATCAAAATACCAAAAAAAAAGTATTTGTATTGTGAAATCAACAAATCATTGAAAAAAAAGTAAGAAAAAAGTACAAAAAGGAAAAAAGGAAAAGGAATCATCAGCAAATAAATGCTCCTCTCTCTCGACATACTCCGAGAACATAGTCTCCAAACTTTCTCTCGCCTCACCACAACCATTATGAAACTCTCCTTAATTTAACAAATGATTGCATAAATTAAAGAATAAGAACACCACATTATCTCTTCAATCCTACAATTCAGATATGCAATTTTCCCGAAGAAAGGTTCCATAAAAAAAGTCCCAAAATTTTAGTTTCTTGCAAGGATTCTCAACATCTCGCTGCCATGAAAAAATCGAACTTTTTATGGTGCCATTTGGTTATATCATTGTTACAAAGAAGAGCTTTACGTTGGGACCATCAAATAAGAGATTCACATAGAAGTGGGTGCCGGCGAGATGCTTGTGGTGGTAGTGGGTCATTCTGCTCAAGATTTGATTTTGTAGAAGGTGTGCTTATTATGGTTGTACTCAGAGATACGACCCGATAATGCAAACGTGTTTTAAAGACAAAAGTGTAAATGCACACATATACAAACGGTGTTAATTTTTTTACGGTTGACTGAAAATAGTAAGGGCTATTTTGTTACGTTTCGTAGTTCAAGGGGGTGTTTGTGACAAACCCTATAGTTCAGGGGTGCAAACTGTACTTTCGTTCCATTATTAAATCCACTATTTTGCGCCGAGTGGTTTTTGCGCGCAGAGTGGTTTTTGGCATTTCCTTTATTAAATTCATTACCACTATTGTGCAAAGTGGATTTGTCCTTTCCTCTTAATAAATCCAATCTGGCGTATACAGTACTGGTTGTACGGTGAAAGCTTACTTGATAGAGATAAAATGGTTGAATACAGGAAAAAAAATCACTATTGAACACATCATTTTCTCGTCGGAAAAGCTTGTGTTACGTGTTGTACCAATATACATATATATGTTGTTTGCCTTAACGAGAAGAAGTTTTTGTCCGAAAATAATAGTAGTTTTTCTTACAGTAAACGTGAAGCCATTATTGCAGTTTTTGGAAATCAAGAGAAAAATCATGAAATGGATTTTCGAGATACTGGGGAAGTTGGGGGTGAGATATGTGGACAGATGGAGAAATATTAGATGTGATAAACAAATTAATGGGATGACTGATTAGCAAAAAAAAAAGTTCTTATTTTATCTTATATATAAAAAGAAGATATTTTGAACTAAAACCTAAACCTAAACCTAGGGGTAATTTTGGTAATTAATATATCTCTAATTTAAAATAATTTGCATTAATATTGTCCTATTCTTTTGGGTAGTGGTATAATTCCACTCCAACTAATATTTTTGATATTTTTCCACACTTAGTCGTAGTTTTTTCTTTAATTTATTAATTTATTTATTATTTTATTTTTCTTCTTAATTTCACACACGAACTGCCTTCACGGTCGTTTCTCTTTAAAACTTCGAACACCTATCATGTTCGGTTTTATAAATAACCTCCATGACCATGATGAATTCCTCGGTTAAAAAACTTCCCACCCAAAGAATTGTGTGTTACATTAACATACTTACATCTGATTATATAATTATAACTTCCGTAAATCGTGTGTTGTATATATATATCTAACGTTATTTCCCTATTTCCCCAGCCCCATCGTTCTCCCACGTTTGGTTTCTTCTCTTCATATCACCATTCACCACTGTACATAATTTAATATTGTGCAAATACCTGCTCAACTAATTTATTTATTTATTTTTTTTTGCAGCCACCAATCCGTTCTTAGCATATCCTTTCCTGCAATATTTGACATATGGTGGCAAAATAATTGTTTGTGGGGGCCATAGAGGTAATTGGGATTTTCATATTTCCTGCAATCTTTTGTTTTTTTTACACAAAAACGACAGATTTTATTTTTTACGAAAAACTAGGTTATTAAATTTATTCGTAATTTTTTTTTTCTACAGCAATAGATTACTTATGACTCGGGTTTAGCTTTATTTCAAATGTGGATTCTGCATATTTGAAGAAGAAGATCATTTTATGTGAAAGAAACATAAGAGTCTTGCATTCTTATGATTACTAATTAGCCAAATATTATCACCCAAGCCAAGTAAATTCTCTTTTAATTCGTGGCATTTTGTTTTTGGTGATCTATTTGTGTATCAACAAGATATAGAACGAGAGATGTATTCTTATTTCATTTGAGGCTATGTTCGACAAGTCAAATTAAAATAAGGTGAATCTGACTCTCTGACATTCAGAAAGTGAACTTTCCGAATTTGAATAATTAAAGATGTATCTTGAAGAATAATAAATTTAGTCTTATGTCTTTTCATATATCTATTCAGTACTTAGTTCCTATTAGTATAAAATATGATATTTGTGTATTTTCAACAACAAGAGGAAAAAGAAACATGAGTGGGAGGGAGGGTTTGTGAAGAAGAAACAAAGGGGTGTGAGGGGTTTGTGTTTTGGTATTAAAGAAAGAAAAATGAGATTTTTTATTTTTGTGTGCTATTGATTTTCCTTAAGGGTATAAATGTTATTACCGATTTATTATTTAGGCGGTATTGAAGTGAAACAATTGGTATTTGAATTAGCTATCCCCTTTGTTAAATTTGTATTATTTATTGTTTAACATATATTTTATACATACATTGACATTTGGTGTATATATATTTATATATTTATTGTTGGAAGAAAAATATATGCTCCAATAAAATAAGGTCACGGCAGCATAATACATATATATATTTCAATAATATTTAATAGATTTTTTTATTACAATTTGTACTATCATTTATTTAAACAATTACTTTCTTCCCTTTGTTCAATGTGACCCTGTGCAACGCACGGGCACGATATTTTGAACTAAAACCTAAACCTAAACCTAGGGGTATTTTAGTAAATACATATTATGGCATTTTCTTTTATTATTTTATTTTCTCTCCATTTGTTAGCATTTTTTTTTCTTTATTTTATTTTTCCTGCAGTATTTTAGTTCACACCATAACACCCACACACAAAAGAGTAACTTCCCACTACCTGTCAACAATTAACAAACAAAAGAAACACCTCTCACTATCTCTAAACTTATGTCCTTGCTTCAACACACGATGAATGGAACTTCTATTGCATCATCATGTAAAGTTAGTTTGCGTAAGTTTTACCATTTAAATGTTGTCGAATTTCAAATGTCGATTGAAAAAAACTTTTAGGCAATTGACCTTGGACGACATTTGTTTTTATGATTTTAACGACGACAGAATTGGTATGCATTTTTTTCCACTTTTCATTTTTTTCATTGGTTTTAGTATTCAATTACGGTTGGGTTTTGCAAAAAAAAAATTATTCTATAAGATTGATTTTACATTACTTAGTTGTATGTGAATATATGTTTTTCTCTTTGGCGAATTATTGTTTGTTTGCAATGGATCAGTTGTAATTTGAGAGGGGTTCATGGACACTTTAGATTGGAAGTTGTTGACTGCCGACTGTCTAAGTATGCATAGCTCTGCCATGGCTGAGTGAATGCCGAGGTTTTTCACCTTTTTCTTCTTTGTCTTCTTCTTCTCCTCACCAACATTTTTCAGCGTAAGCAATTTCTTTGTAAGAAGAAGAAGAAGGGGGATGAGGAGGAGGAGGAGAAGAAGAAGAAGAAGAAGAAGAAGAAGAAGAAGAAGAAGAAGAAGAAGGAGGAGGACGAGGCCAGAATGAGGAGAAATGAGACTGAGAAGAATGAAGAAAAAGAAGAAGGAATAAGTAGAAGAAGAGATAGAAGAAGAAGAAGAAGAAGAAAAAAATGAAGAGAAAGAAGAAAAAAGGAAGAACAAGGAGGAAGAATAAGAGGAAGAGGAATAAGAAAATGAAGAACAACAAGGAGGCGGAAGAAGAAAAAGAAGAAGAGGCGGGAAGACGTATAAGACGAAGACGAAGACGAGGAGGAAGACGAAGAAGAGGAGGACGAGAAGGAGGAGATAGAAGACGAGGATGACGAAGAGGAAGAAAAGAGAAAGATGATGAACAAGAAAAAACAGAAGATGGATAAGAAGAAGATGCGGAAGAAGAGGATGAGAAGAAACATGAAGAAGCATGAAGGAGAAGCGAAGCATGAAGAAGAAGCGAGAAGAAGAAGGGAGGGAGAGGAGAAGGAGGGGGAGGGGGAGGAGAAAAAGCGAAAGGAGAAGGATGAGGACGAGAAGAAGAAGAGGAAGAGGAGGAGGATGATGAAGAAGAAACATGAGTAAGAGGGAGGGTTTGTGAAGAAGAAACAGAGGAGTGTGAGAGGTTTGTGTGTGGAGTATTAAAGAAAGAAAAATGAGATTTTTTATATTTGTGTGACATTGATTTTCATTTAAGATATAAATGTCATTACATATTTATTATTTAGGCGGTATTGAAATAAGAAACAATTGGTATTTAAAATTGTCGTCCCCTTTATTGAATTTGTATTCTTTATTATTTGACATATATTTTATATATTGACACGTGGTGTGTGTGTCTATATATATATATATATATATATATATATATATATATATATATACACCGGTTTAGGATGAAAAATGTGTGCTACAATAAAATAAGATAATAGTAGTGTAATATGAATTTCATATATATACATTTCAATATTAATTGATAGATTTTTTATTACAATTTGTACTGTACATTTATTTAAACAATTATTTTTTTTCCTTTTGTTGAATGCGTCCCGTGCAACGCACGGGCATGATTACTAGTTCAGATAAAATAAGAGTAGATGTGGTAATTTGATACTAAAAGGGTTATAGCTAAATGAGGATTTAAGTTTGAATTTATCATTAAAAGGAAATTGAATGAGAAATTTATATCAAATAGCTCTATATTAATAAATGTTATTGGTGAGAGACCTTCTCACAAACACTCCAAGTTTAAATAGACAAAAAAAAAAGAAAAAGATTATTACGTTGTTATTTATAAATATAATCTTCTTTTATGTATTTCTTAGACAATACTTATCCGATAAGTACTTTAAATTTAGGGGAAAATTCGGTTATACCCATGAACTATGGGGTATGTATCAAAGATCCCCGGAATTACAAAACGTACTAAATAGCCCCGTCTTTTCTAGCCAAATGTTTAAAAAATTAACTATACTAGTTTTGAGGGGAAAATGCCTTTTTACCCTTATTACTGTTACATATATTATTATTTATTTATTTCTTTTTTCTTTACCCCCAATATAAGTTCTTCTTTGGACATCTCTTTTTTCTCCAAAATTGAGTTTTTCAAATGACAAAACAAACCCATGAGTAACTAAAATTCTAATTTTCGATAATAAATTGATTATGAGATAAATCTTAATTTGGGAAAAACAATAGGTATGATGATGAGTACGTAAGACCAATTTTATTAACTAAATGAAAATTTAAATTAAATATTTTACTATATTAATAGGTGAAGAAAATATAAAATAGCGGAAACTACAGTTTGCACCCCTGAACTGTCGCAAATACCGAACTACAAAACGTAACAAAATGGCCCCTCCGTTTCGAATATGTTAGTGGATGATGACGTGGCGCATTGACTTTATTGTTACTAGCCGTTTCTATACCTATTGGAACCTTTTTTGACCATTTTGCCCCTCAGACTAGTATATATATGTTTGTGCGGGTTAAAGAGGCTTATATTATTTTATCTCAAGTAATTATTTTATCTCATCACATTTATTTTTTATAAATATTATTTTATGTATGTATTTTTAAAATTATCTCGTATTTTCAAAAAAATAAAAATATCCATTTACATAGAAGTAACCTTTTAAATTTAAATAAAATAAATAAAAGATAAACAAATAAATTAATGAACTAGGAAAAACAGCATGTCCAACTCTTTCCACCTCTGTTATTCTTTTTTTTTTTATTTCATTAATTTTTCGGACTAAAAATAAATCAAATTACAAATACACAAATGGTCACAAACCTCTCTTTCCCCCTCGCCAAAACACTCCTCTCTGCCGTCAGCTCTGTCATCAAATACAAAAATCTCCCCAATTAAAAATTGGCATCTGCATTAATTACATGATTCCTCCTTCGCCTTATTCATTGTCGGCGCCGCTACTGCTCCATTTATTCATGTCATTAGGATTGCCCTAAATTAATTTTGCAGCAGAAGTTATTAAGGGCAAAAAAATAAATGCACATTATTATTAACGGTGTTAAATTTCTAACATTTGAATGTTAAAGTCATGGACTATTTTGAGACGATTTATAGTTTAGGGGGTGCTTATGACAAGCTTCATAGTACAGGGGTGCAAACTGTACTTTCACCTATAAAATATTATGGGACAAAATATATTCATCATTATACATAAAATAAATTATGTATATCTTTATACATATCGATATAACAAGTGAGGGGTAAAAATGTCAAAAAATATTAATTTAAGAAAGTCAACTTGCCACATCAGCACATCACAGACATAATTCAGGAGTGCAAACTGAACTTTGCCGTTAAATTTACTCAAAAAAAATTCATAAAGTATTTAATTATTTAGACAAAAAAATATATATATAATAAAGTGTTAGAGAATATTAATATTTGATATATAAATTTTTAAGTGAAAATCTTTATTGATTTATTCTGATCTACTTCTTACGAATATTAATGATTTATTTTTTTTACTATGACATACAGTAGATAATTAATAAAATATATTTTTTCTGCATGTTATTGTTAAAAACAAGTAAATATATTTTTTTTTAATTGATGTATGAAAAGGGTATTGAGGCTTGAGCTAGAATAGTTAGTTTAATTAAATTAAAAAAAAATATTACACTAAAAATTAAAAATAAATGGATATTAAAAATCATGACGAAACCTAACCCACATAAAATACTTTTTATGAGATTCAAAAATAAATAAAACATATATAAATGCAATGAACACTCAAATTCAAAACTTGATTGAACAACTTATAACAACAACAACAACAACAACAAAAAAAAAAAGGACAAAATGAAGGAAATTTAAGCATAGTTCCAAATTGTTCTTATTTCTACTCCAAATATTGCTTCTTCTTCTCCTCTTCATCCATGAAAGCAACAAAAGGAAAAGACCTTCCTATCCCCACAGGAGTCTTGAAGTAAATCTTCTTCTCAGCACCAACTTCTTCATGAATACTCATCTCAACAATAGGCACCCAAAGAAGCTGTTTGCTCTTCACACCACTCATCTTCTTCATCTTCCCTTCCTCCACGTAAGCAGTCACCTCTCTGTCGTATCTCACGAGCGTATTTGTCGCTTCGAAGAAATGCTCGTACGGCGCTTTTTGCTTCATCCAAACGAAGCCCGTTTCTCGTGCTATTCCACACTCTTCTAGGTCCTTGAGGGGGAGCACGCCCCTCGGAAACCCTAGCTCCTTGAGTTGTGTTACGGAGTGGTTGTAGCACTCGTGGGCCCCGTGGATGATCTCTGCTCCGGCCCGTTGGTCTTCAACTTGAGCTTTCTTGCTAGCCATTCGTTGAGGTGTGTGTGTTTTGTGGTGTAAAATGTTTTGGGAGGAAGAATGTGTGTGTTTGCGTTGAGTGTTGTGTGTTGTGTGCTTATATGCATTTTTAGTGGGAAGGCTAACTTTGTGGTTGCTCTATGGAAGTTGAACTACAAAGGTTGTGTTTGAATGTTGATAGAGTCGTTCACCAAACAGTTCACTTCTAAATCTAACTATTAGTTGACAATGTTTTGGTAGGTAGTAATATCACCAATTTCAGTTTTCTATACAAAATTTTAGTGAATTTTGATTCGATTAAACCGATTTACACTTTCCTATTGTCCTCCCAGATGGTAGAATTCTTTATCGAACAAGGAAAAAGAAAAAAAAAATAAAAAAAAAAAAAAAAATAGGAAGAGAAGCCCAATTTCTCTCAAGTGTTTATACTTCAATCCAGTTAATTCGTATTTTGACCAGTTAATTCGTATTTCAACCAGTTAACTATCCAAAGAACTAAAACACATAAAGTAGCAGTGCTGCGCTTCAGGAAAAAATCAATCACGGAAATATGAGGATAAAACTAAACAATGTAGTCATAAAATCATGCTGGAGTTATATAATCGACAAAAATGTATTAAAACATTAGTCTACTTTTACATGGAGTCCTATTTTCTTAAAAAAACGAGGCTTAACTAATCTTCAGAACTGGCGCCCTTCCTTTGCTTTTGCATTACGATATTATCAAGATTCTTGTACCAAGCAAAAGCCTGAAATTTCACACAAAAGTTTCGGTTAGTCTCTTCTCATAGTAAACCTAGTATTTGAATATTTAATTTACAGACCAAAGACGAAACAAATTTCTGTGGGGCATAAAGGGAAGATTTAAAAAAAAAAAAAAAAAAAAAAAAAACTGATTTCACAGAAGTAGCTGTTTTCACTTTACTTTAAACATCCACGTACATGAACTCAAAGAAAAAATCATTTAATCAAAGTCAACTTCATTCAAATTGCGAGCTGAAGAAGAACAATTTTTCACTGAAACATGGGATCTTCCTCTGATAAATGCATAAAGAAATACGCTTGGTTTTATGCACATTGACATATAACTAACATACCAACTAACTGATGTCCACTCGACAGACAAAGGAAGCTTCTTATTATGCAGTCCAAGATTAATATGTAGTCTAGGCTCTATGAATTTATTAACAAAAAATTGTACAATTGAATTAAAAAATAAATTCAGATATGCTATGTTCTCTCACTTTGATTTCTAATGAATACACAAATATGGCTAAAAATGCAATGCTTCTTCTCATAACAAGATCACCGTCCAAGACTCCAAGTACATCCCCACAGCATTTCATCAAACCAATAAATGAAGCACGAAATTAAGCACCGCAATTTTTTTAATATACGTCAATTTCATGAAGGCCAATTTTTGTACTATTAGACCTTCTCATAATATAGCACGCTCTATAAGGAGGTAATCCATTTTAGAAACATTGAACAATCCCCCATCCTGAAATGTAGACCTTAGAAATCCTTACGCATAGCTTCATTTGTGTAAAAGAAGGCAACTTCGTCCCAAGATTCTTATACAACAAAGATCAACATGATTTAAACAGGAAAGCAATACTTTCAACATTAGTTTAACCAATGAAACTAAATTGCCACATTGAAAGGTCCCGTCTAGGGTTCTTACCATTTTTTATATATGTTTAATAGGAAAGTATATATATACGTGTATTTACAGTGTCAGTGAGCAAAGAATGCACCTATTTTCCCAAATGAGCACATCCTCTTGAATTTCTATTTTTCTAATCAATCGAATGGGCTTGTTCTTAAGTGCAATAATCAAATTGTAGTCTTAAAAGCCCATGACCACTCCATTGACTGATATCGAAACTGATGCATCTTTTTCGGGCCTAGAAGTTAAAATATCCCATTGAATTTGACATTTCAACAAATCTTAGTGGCAAAGCATGAAGTGGTACATTTTGGTAAAAATTACGATTTCATACTCATATTTCGTACCTCAACCTAATGTACTTCAAAATCTATTTACTTCATTACATCCTATTCCAATTATCATCCAATCCTAAACTTGAACTTGATTTTTAGTTTGAAAAATCTGATAATAAATGAATACATACAACACACCGAAAGAAAAGATTCAGGCTATTCTCCCAAATCCCGAATACCTCATAGAAAAACAACTGAATCTTAATTCAAACAAAATTCAATTTCATTTCTGGAATATTCGATTTGAGCATAATAAACATATGCTTCACAAACACAAACCCATAAGAAAGCAAAAAACCCCAGTATTTAATTGAACATAAAAAGGGAAAAAGAAAAAAAAAAAAAAAAAACTCAACTTTTATCTATAAAAAAATTCAAATCGGGTAATTAAATAGAGAAAAAAAAAAGATAATTACCTAAAATGAAATTAAGTAGCACCGACGATAATGTTGTTGATGGGGATGAAGATCAACTTGACGAAAAATCCGACGAAACCCATCACGACAAACCCGATCGCAGTCCGAGTCGCGACCTTGGTGAATTCTACGTAAGAACGAATCCAAAACAAAAAAAAAAATCAGCAAATTATTAAAACCATAAATCAATAAACGAACCGATCGATCGATAGGGTGGGTGGGTTGTTTTGTACCTTTCCGATCAGGCTTGTGGCAACGCTTGACGAGACGAACGCTGTCCTTCGCGAAATCTCTCAGCGGATCGAAAACTGAATCCAAAGCATCCATTTTCTCTTTTCTGTAGATCTGTATTTTTTTTGCTTTTTTATTCTGTAGATCTAGGGATTTGGGGATTTGGGGATTTGGTGTAAGAGAAATTGATGAAAAGAGGAAATGAGAATTAAAACTGATTTATATTGTAGTCGATGATGAACAAAGATGACGGTAGCTGAGATTCCGTAATTACCCCTGACGGATGGGCATTTTGCTGTCCATGCCATCAACAATTGTTTTTTTTTTTTTCGTACTAAATATATCTAAAGTCCGTACAAAATAACATATTTTTAAGTTGTTTAAAAGAAAATTATGCTGATTTTTGGTATGAACCTACAATTATAGTATTTGTAGTGTTCACTATTATAGTAAAGTATATTCATCCAATAATATATTTTTGAAAATCCGAAAAAGATATTGGCAATAACTTTCCGCTTCATATGTATATATTTTCACCAAATTTCTAGTATATTTTATTTGATTTTTTATTTATTATATTTAAAATTAATACTTGTAAATTTTGCATAAAAGAAATATTACGGCTTTAAACATACCATATTATAAGATTATGATATTTAATATTTTGAATTATTTGTCTACAATAGGCATGTTTAAAAATAGATATTTACGAACTCTAAAAAAAATATTCCAAATATATGAATATCTTTTTTTCTTCTTATATTTAATATATGAATAACTTTTTTTTTTTTTGAATATATATGAATAACTTAATACAAATTGAAATCATCCAAGCATATTGAAAAACTATCATATTTTGACATGAATGCTTAAAAATAATATATGTAACTTTCAAGCGAGAGATATGTTGCTATTAACCATCTTCACATGGCGAGTTCAAGAGGTAGACAGCCGACTAGGCTCCAAATTTTAGCAAAAAAAAATTTCCACACACTTTATATACTAACATAAATTTATAATGTGTGCATTTTTAACCTTGAATTCTTAAATAAAGCTAAACTAGCAATTTACTTTAATTTTTATATTTTATTTCTAAACAAAAATTGAACTACAAATAGTGTTTTATCAATCTCTGGATATTCTCGATTTTTATCTTTCACCCAAATACCTAAATTTTGTGTTAAGCTCAATTGTTTTTTTCAAAGCACTACATGGAATCGGATATTGGCAAAGATGATTTGTTTCATGCCCTAAGAGTACTAAAATAATTTCTAAAAGAAGTAAGAATGACAATTGAAGTGTCGACTTACTTGAAAACTATATATTATGTTTTCGATGCATTAGTGATTTATTAGTAGTTAAACTCGCGAGATACCGCAATATATATCGCGAGACGGTACGGTCCCATTTAAAACAATACAACTCATACTATGTATTGGCTACGGATAAATACCGATGATGATGTTATGTTGTGAGACCACATCTACTATCAGGAAGTTCATAGCTCGTGAGACGATTAGCGGATATGTGCCTCAGGTTACCGTTAACCTAATTTGTCCCATCGCTTTAATCGATCCGCCCGTAAAACCGTATATTGATGTTGTTACTGGTTTGATGTCCGCATTTAGGTCCATTAGTAAATAGCAATCGTAGAAAAGCACATCTACCACGCTGCTATTGTCAACAAATGCTCGCGAGACGTAGTATTCTTCGATACTAGCAGTAACCATCAAGGCATCATGGTGCGGCATGTTAATGGCGTTATACTCATTGGGACCCAACCTTTAAGGAGATTGTGGGTGTAATTTCAGAAAAAATAAGGGGGAAAGAAAAAGGGGATTTTTTTTAAAAAAATAGGTCAATTTTGGGGTTGTGGATTTAATCGATATTTTCGCCATAGATGGATTCATATGCAACCAACTGTCATGAATTATTTGCAGCGATTATTGAGGGGTAAATCAGACTATTCCATATTAATCTAATTTATTTTAATGTAATAAATAATTTTAAGTGGGAAGGATATATGCGTAATTGCTCAAATTATTATTTTAATCATTTTTCTAGGAAACCCAAAATCACTTTTTCATTCAACGGTTCAGATCTAATCTATTTAAAATCAATGGTCATTTAGCGGGTATCGGACCTCAGATAGGATTTGAGGTATCGGACACTAGAAAGGACCCTCTAAGTATTCACAAATTTTGTCCGCACTCTTTCTAGATGCGTCAACACTGTGTTGTTCACGGATGTACGCACACCATTTTCAGTGACTTTTAAATAATAAATATGCTAAGGGGTTGTTAGCTACAAAAATTACCGAGGTATTTTTCCTTTTTCTTGCTCCGTAAAAAAAGGCGAAATCCCTCGCCCCCAGGGCCCCCATCCCTTGGCCCGACAAGGATTGATAGAGGAACGTAAATCATGGTAACTCAACGGCCCGTTAAGGTAGCGGACCCGGACCTAGTGCCCACAAGGAACCAATCTCATTGGAGTTGAAATTCCCACACTGCGGCTGCCAGGATTCGATCCTAGGACCTTGCTCCAACTTACCACCTCCGGAACCAGTTGAGCTACAACCATGCGGGCATTTTTCCTTTTTCTTAAATGAAGCAGAAGTGAAGTTTTATTAAAAAAAAATTAAAAAAGAAAAAGTGTCTTTATTCTTAATGAAATTAAATTTAAGGGACTTTGAGCACATTCATTACATGCGTGGTTATCAAAATCGCACGATTTACGATTTGAATTGTCCGATTTGATTCAATTCAGACTCAATTCGTCGAATAAATGAAAAAAAAGAAAAAAAATCATAACTAAATCATTTAACCCATTAACAAATTGCTCAAATAGTGCGATTTGTACGAGTTGGACGATTTGTTCAGATATCTTTTATCTTGTTAATATATTATTAAATTATGAAAAATAATCTAGAAGACCCACTTTCTAAACACTAAGTCGCATTTTGACCTTGTCCTCGACTCTCTCTTCTCTCAAAAAACTCAAATAATAATTAAAAGAATCATCCCATCGTCTCCCATCAAAGATGCTAGGCTAGGGCTTCTTCTTGTTTTGATCTTCAAGCAAGTTACACATGTAATGGGCACGAAAAGTGACTTTTTTATTGTAATTTTTTGGCTGATTGTCTTAGTTTATATCCAATTCTATTTGCCCAATTTCATGAATATGAGAAAATAATTTATTTAATTTACATTTTGCACATTCTTCTATATGTATGTATTTAAATTTTGTATATTGTCATTATTTTGCGGATTTCATATGGGAAAATTTTAGGGGAAGAAGAGCAAGAGCAGCGATGATCCAGGATGAAAACATTGCCTAAAAGTTTATGAAGGAAACATGCGTGTAAGATGTGTGCAATGTGAACTTATATATTGGGGAGGTGTTTTTCGAATAAAAGATCATTTAGCATGAACTATAAAAGATGTTGAATATTATGTACAAAATGTTCTGAAGAAGTGCGAAATTATTTTTTAAACAATTTGGAAAGTTAAAAAAAACAAAAAAAGGAGATTATGGGGATGATGAAATTTTTGTTGAAGTTGATGTTGGTGCAAATTCCTGAAAAGGGAAAAAAACGAATAATGAAGTTTTTTTTAAATTATGGAAAAGAGATGGCTCTTCTAAGCCTACTTTGAGTGCGTTGACGAAGGATAGAGAGTCTGTGGGAATCTTATGGACCTCTTGCCCAGAACTTCAGAATATTGTCATTAGAATCTTTAGCCAAATATGTAGTGTTACGAGATGAGAGAGAAATTGGAGCTTATTTGATCAGATATGAGATGAACTTTATTTCTGGGTTTTAGGAGGAAGATATTACTGAATGTCAAACCTTAATTATAAGTTCTTTGATAGGTGCATACTAAAAGGAAAAATCGATTGGAGCAAAAACGACTTAATGCACCTGTGTTCACGAAGTACAATCTGAGGCTTGAAGCGCGACATCGAAAGAGGGTTAAAGATGGTGATTTCTACGATCCTATTTCTGATATGGAATCTGATGATGAATGGATAACAGAAAGAGAAGATCCAACTCTACTGAAGGATACAAATTGGTTGGATGTTAACGAGTGTTTTCAACTGAAAAATGTTGAATCAAGCAAAAGAAAGAAAAGAGCTAATTTACTATCATGAATTATTATATCCTTGGTATATGGTCATACAGTTTATTAGTCCAGTTGTCTAAGTACATGATATGTATTTTTCATAGGACCTAGACATATTAATAAGAAAGGAAAAGAAAAAGTCATTGAAGAAGAAGAGTAACGAGAAGAAAAGTAGCCCTGGAACAATTGAACGAAGTAAAGTAAATGCCGATGAAGAAAATATTAAAAATGAAGAGCTGGATATATTAGTATTTACACGATTTACAATTCGATTCAATTCGATTTAACAACTATGCTTACATTACAAAATGTCTAAAAACTTCACATGAGAATGATGTTTATTATATTTAAATTCATTTTTGATAGTTTAATATATTTAAATTCCACTCATTCCACTAACTTGCAAGCTGGGTTGCAAAATCTCTTTCGGCTTCTTTAATATTTATGTTTATGTTTATCCCCAATAATTGAATCACTAAAATAGCCCGATTCCCTCCCTTATCAACAATTGTCCAGAACCACATAATTGTAGTGTAGCAAACACAAAATTTGACAAATCAGCCGGGGGTAATTCAGACATTTCACTCATACGCTTGTCTGAATAGATCTGCACTCCATACCAATCGTGCCTCCCTTTTCAGTCACTTCACCAGAAGAAAATACCCTAAAATTAATACGCCGCCGCCGCTTCTTCCATCTCACCACCGTCAATTATGGCGGCCGCTGCTCCCACCCCCTCCTCCGCCGCCATCTCAAAGAATCCCTCTCTAGACTGTAAGCCGAAGCTCACTTCTCGGTTCACTCTCCCCTTCCCTCATCTCAGCCAGAAGCCCGCCGGAGCTTCCATCTCCCACCGCCGCCGCCTCCAAATCTCAAGCGTCCTCTCCTACACGAACAAACAAATCGTCCAGGAGGAGGAGACCTTCGTCTCCCGATTCGCCGCCGACGAGCCCCGAAAAGGCTCCGACGTCCTCGTGGAGGCGCTGGAGCGCGAGGGCGTCACCGACGTCTTCGCCTACCCCGGCGGCGCGTCGATGGAGATCCACCAGGCCCTCACCCGCTCCACCACCATCCGCAACGTCCTCCCCCGCCACGAGCAGGGCGGCGTCTTCGCCGCCGAGGGCTACGCCCGCGCCTCCGGCAAACCCGGCGTCTGCATTGCCACCTCCGGCCCCGGCGCCACCAATCTTGTCTCCGGCCTCGCCGACGCCCTACTCGACAGCGTCCCCCTCGTCGCCATCACCGGCCAAGTCCCCCGCCGCATGATCGGAACCGACGCCTTCCAAGAAACCCCGATTGTCGAGGTAACTAGATCCATTACAAAGCATAATTACCTCGTTCTAGACGTAGAAGATATACCTAGGGTTGTTAAAGAAGCCTTCTTCATTGCCCGATCGGGTCGACCCGGCCCGGTTCTTATCGATGTTCCGAAAGACATTCAGCAACAAATGGTGGTCCCGAATTGGGACCAGCCAATGCGATTAGGCGGATACTTATCCCGATTACCCAAACCCCCAAATCAAATGTTACTAGAGCAGATAATTAGGTTAATATCGGAGTCGAAGAAACCGGTTCTTTACGTGGGAGGTGGTTGTTTGAACTCAAGTGAAGAACTAAAACGATTTGTCGAACTTACCGGAATCCCAGTTGCAAGCACCTTGATGGGCCTCGGGTCTTATCCCGGCTCCGACGAAGACTTCGCCTTGCAGATGCTAGGAATGCACGGCACCGTTTACGCGAATTACGCAGTGGATAAATCCGATTTGTTGCTTGCTTTCGGTGTTCGGTTCGACGACCGTGTCACCGGAAAATTAGAAGCATTTGCTAGTCGGGCGAAGATAGTCCACATCGACATCGATTCTGCAGAGATAGGAAAAAACAAGATACCCCACGTGTCGATATGTGCGGATTTGAAATTAGCCTTGGAAGGTTTGAATTCGATATTAGAGGAGAAAATCCGAAAGTTGAATCTTGATTTTTCGGAATGGAGGACGGAGCTAAAGGAGCAAAAGACGAAATTCCCTTTGAGTTTCAAGACGTTCGGTGACCTAATCCCACCACAGTACGCGATCCAAACGCTCGACGAATTAACGGGCGGTGAAGCAATCATCACCACCGGAGTCGGGCAGCACCAGATGTGGGCGGCGCAGTTCTATAAGTACAACCGGCCCCGCCAGTGGCTGACGTCCGCCGGATTGGGGGCGATGGGGTTCGGCCTTCCGGCGGCGATCGGGGCGGCAGTTGCTAAACCGGAGGCGGTGGTGGTCGACATTGACGGAGATGGGAGTTTCATGATGAACGTGCAGGAACTGGCTACCGTGAGGGTGGAGAATCTTCCGGTGAAGATTATGCTGTTGAACAACCAGCATTTGGGGATGGTTGTTCAGTGGGAGGACAGATTCTACAAGGCGAACAGGGCGCATACGTTTCTTGGGAATCCGGCGAACGAGTCGGAGATATTTCCGGATATGCTCAAGTTCGCGGAGGCTTGCGGTGTGCCTGCGGCACGGGTGTCGAAGAAGGAGGAGCTGAGGGCGGCGATTCAGAAGATGCTGGATACTCCGGGACCGTATTTGTTGGATGTGATTGTGCCGCATCAGGAGCATGTTTTGCCGATGATTCCGAGCGGTGGTGCGTTTAAGGATGTGATTACGGAGGGTGATGGAAGAACTAAGTACTGATATTTCGTGTTTTTTTGTTTTTTTTTTTCCCTTTTTCTTTTCTGAGTGAAGCTTATAAGTTGGAACTCTGTTTTGTTGCAGTTTTATATGTATTTAGAGGATGCCCTAATAATAAACCTGGGAATATTGTTTTTTAATGTTTGATGTATCTTGTGTTTCTTTTGTGTGTGATTTCTGAATAGAAGAGATTATACAGTTTGAAACTTTACTTATGACACCTTTCAGAAAACACATAAATCACCAAAACAAGAAGTTCAACACAACGGTATTACGAAAAAACCCCTCTTGCAACCCGAGAAGTAATCAGCGAAAAATACGACTTTTTTTTTAAAATAAGAAAATCGTAATTCAGTGTATCGCTGCATATGAAAACATGACCTGCACATGGTTGCTAATGAATAAAAGGGAGAGTACCCTACACGAATTTCAACTTTTTATACAAAAGCACGAAAAATCATTGTCGCCTTATCGGTTAAATGCCAATTTAGTAGTGGCATTGTCCATTTGGCGCCACTCTCTATTCTCGACTCAGCACACGGTCCCGCCTCTTAGCTGCACCCGAAAATAAAAAAGATGAGAAAAACAAGAATTCCGTAATCAGCATCTTCGGTCTTGCTATTTTACAAAAACCTGAAAAAACATAACAAGAGAGCTTCGAAATAAAAAAAAAGAATCTCCTAATTTCAAGCACAACTTCATCGTGAGAATCTCTCCCAGAATTTTGTTTTTTTTTTCTCCACCATCATCTATAAATTGTTACCCAACAATAAATATCGAGTTCATATTTCGCGGTATAAATAAAATGAATTTGGAACTTCAGACAAAACGGGAGGCAAAAGTACTAGTCATATTAGTGCCAGACCTCAAATTCTGGAATATGGTACAAAAAAAATCCATCGATATTTCTAAATAATTGGGTCCATTTTCTAGTAAAGAGCAAGAACAATAAACAATGCAATATGAATCCCGAAAAGAATCCAATATCCGTTATTTGGAATATTCTTGGCCCTCTAAATAAGCACATAATATTAAGGTGTCTATCTAATCTTCTCCAAACATCAAGTTCGCAGATTACATCATACATATGCAAATACGATAATGGTGGAAGAGGAAAATAGAATTGGCAAATGATTCACCATCCACTATGGTATAACCAATATGTCGATTTATGTTGAGAGACAATACCTTAGTTTCTGAAATACGGAATTATATGACTATATAATGCATCTTCATTACTACCATTTATCATATTATGCATATTACCCTAAACAAGCTTTCTTGGACATAATCCGAGAGACCCCGTATCTTAGTTTTCGACCGAGGGAAAATTAAGCGAATGACAGGTTGACAAGTGGCGTCTTCATTAACTGCGGTTATCATCATACACATATAACTCCAATGTCCCGTTGACAATATCTTATTTACCAGAAACGAAATTTCTTAGTTTCTGATTACTCGATCGATTCGTCTTAAGAATATAACTCTTGACTGTCTCGGTCCCATTAATTTATTACCATATGAAACGAATAACGTATTAACTTCAGATTGTGTGAACGCATAAAATTTCCCCGAACGCAAATACCAATAATGAAAAACTGCATTGTTCCCTAACAGTAGGGCAAAAATGAACCAGAAGAACATGTTTTTCAATAAAAAATGAAATCGAATAAAATTAATAATAACTCTTAGTATTAATTCAGTTCATAAATTAATTTGGCAACCGTATATATAATAATCAAATTAAACAGAAATAGGATCACCTAAAAATATGCAAATTCACCAGATCTGAATAAATTCAAGCATTTCCACAGAAAAAAAAAATGGGGGAAAATTAAGCGTGAATTACCCTTGTCCGTCGAGGTTGCCCTGCCCGCTGCTGGTCGCGCCGCCGCTAGCGTAGGACCCATCGTCCGGCGCCGTCTGCCACACAGACTGCCACGCCTGAGACGGCGCCGCCGCCGCCGCCTGCATGTAAACACTCGGATCCACGCCGGGGCGGCCCATCATAGGCTGACCTATGGGTGGGTAATAGTACGGAACCCCCGTGACACCACCACCCGCACCCGGCGGAGGACCGGACACAATCCCACCCAGAGCGGCGGCGGCGACCGCCGCCTCCTCTTTGATCTCGTCCCTGGGGACAATGTCAACAAGGAAATCGAAGATATCGGTGCGGGTAATGGCGGCGGCGATGTCGTTCTTCTGGAGGGTGCGGCGCTTGTTCTCCTCGGCGTGGAGCCAGGATCGGATGGTGAGCTCGAGGATGAAGAGCTCGCACGCCTTGGCGAATAAAATCGGCGCCTCCGCGGAGATCATGCGGACGTCTTCATCGGCCTTCATGATCTTCTTAATCCGGGCCAAGGGGAGCTGGTGGTTCTTAAAATCGTTCACCTGCTCGATTTCCTGCCGCTGGTACGTCCAGAACATGTGCAGCTGCTGCTGCTGCTGCTGTAGGAGGTGCTGGTACGGCGGCTGGCCTGGGTACGCCGCCGTCTGGCCTGGGTACGCCCCCGCCGCGGCGGCGGCGGCGGCGGCGCTTTGCTGCGGGTTGTTTTCCATTTCTGCAACACTTTTTGTTAAAGATGTTGGGAAATTTTTATTTAATTAAAAAAAAAGAAATGGTTTTCTGGTGCCAACGAGGAAAGAGTGCCAACGTAAAAATATTATTATATAGGGGAAGTAAATGGCAGGGCAATTTTGTTGATTGCAGTATAATGTACAATTGAGACTGCGTAAGGTACAATAATCAGCTGATAATTGGGAGTGGAAAAAGTGTTTTTGATCGGATAAGTGTCTGACCAAATACGGGTATTTTGGTCGTACAAATATTTGGAATTGATTCCATCTTAAAAACAAAAAAAAAAATAATAATAATAATTTTAATGTTTAGGTAGTACGGGATAATTACAATAAATCCTCAAGTATTGTTAGAAAACCTTCCGGAATAATGCATTGAATAACTTATTTTGTTAGGGTTCTAACGGACTATTAGTTTTATGAAGTGGTGGAGACAACGCAAAGCCTTTGATGACATGTATCTCCAAACATTTTTTAAATTCTTATTATTTTATATAAGATTTATAAATTTTCGTCTACGGTTGCATTAATGGCCGCACATAAAATATATATAGAGCATATCGGTCAGGACATGAAATCTTGACTCGGTTAATTGCTTAAGGGATGTGGTTATAATTATCAATATCAGAAGTACCTAAAAGTTATTTTAGCATACCCGAGTGTTTTAGATGTAATTGACCCAAAAAAGAAAAGGAAACTAAAAAGGTACTCTTATAACAAAAAATATATATTAAAATTTCCTTTATGATTCAATTGTTTTATCATGATACTTCTAAATATTCACTATTTGGGAATTGAGTCTATAAACACATTTAATAGGTTACTAATCTTATATATAAAAGAAAGAAACGTTGGGCAACCCTGAAAAACTCAAATGGTATTTCAGTAATTATTTATTTTTAATATTTTTTCTATACTAATTTCTAACTATTTATTTTCAACAATTATCAATCTCCTATTTTTCATCAATATATCATAAATCTTAAGAGATAAAGATAGAAATACGATTTGTTAAATGTTAATCTATATATTTGGAATAAAAATATCAATATAAAAAAAAAAAACTAATGTTATATAAAATATGAATAATACAACATTATTAAATTTTACTATGTTAGTGTACTATGTCTTCTTATGCATTAAATTGATTATTTTTTCAGTTTTAATTTTTTTTTTCACTTTTAAAATAATATCCCGTGCATCGCACGGGAGAAGAAAATGCTAGTATTAATAACACGAGTTTTTTTTTTAACAAATCGAAATAACATATGATTTTTTTACATTTCATTCAATATTTACTATACAAGTTCCGCACAGCGTCCCCGATATATGTTTTAATGATATTTCACACAAATACTTTAAAATATATCATGTTCAAAAAATGATTATTTAAAAATTTCAATTTTTTTTTTCATAGATGAGTTTAAGTTTAATCCCCCACCATATATATTTATATATTTTAAAAATGTTTAGTAATAAGTTTTTACCCTTCAAATGATTTTTTTTATTAACAAATAAAAATATGTGTATAAAATAAAATACATAAAAATGGAAGAGAAAAAAATATAAGCCGATGGTTATTACCTTATCTGTTATTCTTGACTTTGATTGGGTGGCATATATGGGCGAGCCGGGTGATGTGGACATAATGGAAAGTGTGTATTTGACATACGTGGAAATTAAGAACAAATATATCAATGATAGGATTTGAATATTTGATCATATTATTAGACCCAACCCCAAGAAATATTAAATAAGGGGAAATTTTTATTTTAAATTATAATCAGGCTTTGGA